AGCCACATCACATTTTTTCTTTTTCGTGCCTTTAAGATGGCTGAAGCGAGAATTTATTGCAGGGGATAGAACATAATAATTGACTACTTATTTAGTGGAAAAAAGCGGTTGGATCGAATGAAAGGATTGCTGTATTTTCTGAGATTAGGCAATTGCCAGCTTGATATCTTAAAAATCGGGATCTTATAACTTTGGACTCATTGAAGTTCATCTTCCTAAACCCCGAAAACAGCAATGAACATGAACCAACCAGCCCAAATGCGTACGCTTCTACAGCAATGAAGTTCTGGTGAGCGCAACTAGCATAGGAACAGAACGACGTCGCTTCTCAGGACGGCAGTTGCTATCGTATGATTTTCTTTCTGCACTTATCAACCTTCATGCGCCATGTCTGCTGTATTAGACCTTTTTCAAGTATTTTCAAACAATCTTAAAGCTAACGTGTTTGCTTGGGCGAGTTGGTACGACGTGATTCACTTAAAAAACAGCGCCAATAACGAGGGACAAGAGAAAGAAGGAGACAGACAGTGGCACTGACTTACAACAAGATTTATTTGCTAGAACCGCACAATATATACTTGGGCAGTATCTGACAATATATACTTGGGCAGTATCAGTATCAGTATTTTTGTCAGATACTGCCCAAATATATATTGTGCGGTTCTAGCAAATAAATCTTGTTGTAAATCAGTGCCGCTGTCTGTCTCCTTGTTTCTCTTGTCCCTCGTTACTGGCGCTGTTTTTAAAGTGAATCTTAAAGCGCACTGCTTGCACACGCTGCCCTGTGGGAAAATTTTTACACTGAGTGAGCCGACTGTTAGGTTCACCTGCTGCTTGTTGTCTCTCTCGAAGTGGTGTGAAGAAACAAAAAGAGTGTGTCACCACTTCTTGGCTATTGTGAGATCATAAATGCTACAAATATACGACCACATTTGGATGTACTGTATCTGCACCTGGAATGCGAAAGGACTAAAGCTGTCCACAGTAGGTATTAGCTTAGTGATTACGAGCGGCTATGCACTGAAAGTAGCAGTGAAGCCGCATACGTTTTATTGCGTGCCATTACCGTCAGGACGTACTGCAATATAAAATGCAACAATAAATTCATGTTTGACCATTGCTTGTACTAATGCAATAAATTATACTAATGTGAGTTATAGAATCGGCTGAGGTATCTCTCTGCATGCGCATTCGATGTCATGATCATTCCTGCACTTACGAACTTTGTTTAGCTGCTATATTATATAGAGCCTGCTGCTCACGAGCAAGATTATATGTTATATTGAAAGTGTCATCTCATGTGAGCCAACAGGTAAAAACAACCGGCACGTTTTCAAAACTTATATCTGCTTTTAGTGTCAATAATTGGTGATTAAGGCTTACCTTTTGTTAACTGTGATGCGAGTGGCGTGCATGCTGTCTAATCAATGTATCTTATTTTACTTAATGCGGACTCTAGCTGTTTTTGTAATCTTTAAATCTCAAAACCTCCCGTTGAGCTCTTCAACAGTGTCTGTGAATGTTCATTTTAAAGAAGAATGGCAAATTGCACTCAGAGCTCATGCAATCTATGAAATCGTGTTGTATTTTTTTTAATTATGCTGTAGCTCATAGTGGCAAATAAAAAAATGACGCTTCGAAGTCGTTCAACTGCCCGCTTTTCCCACCCACTCTCCCACCCCTTCCCTCCCACCCGTCCCTGAAGTACTATAGCCTGGTGGAAACTATATAGAGGTCAATGCAGCTAAAGACCGAAAGATTTCATGACCTAATCACACAGTAATATGCGACAACTTGTCACGCGCTCTTGATCTGAGAAACACTCGCACGTCGTGACCAGCGAACCAAAGAGCGAAGGCCGCACACTCGTCGCGGGAACTGCTAGCTGCGCAGTGTGTTCTTTTTTCATGAGCACTTGCACACCTGTTGGTGGCTCCCGTGCGTTCAAAAAAGGTCTTGTATACATGAAACATGCACATCTTCTGCGACGCGAAGTAGGTCGACAGCTGAAGCAAGGACGGTGGCTTATTCTACACGTCTCGGAAGAGCATGGCAGTTCTGGTACCCGTACAGGTATGGCTTCATTTTTGCGGATGAAATCAGTCATATTTACTTACTCCCTTATATTTGCCCACTTTTGTGAAAGCTGAAAATGGCCACAGGCTCTTTGTAAGAAGGAATGCAATTTTCTCATATGACCCCATCATCTGCCTCCACTAAGTTCACTATCTCGATTTCTTTATTCAAGAGGGTAGCTGCTTGGGCTGGTTAATGCTGTATGCTTAAAGGAAAACCTTTCATCATGCGCAATAGGTCCCAAGAAGAGATCTGAGAGACAACATAGTGCACATTAACGGTCATAATGTCTAAACTGACTTTCAGCCTACTGCCAAAGCAACAACAATTATGAACGCAGCATGAAAATGCCTCATTTGCATTGTTTCTAAGGACTTTCAGACATATTTCTTGAAACAACTTGTAATTATTTGCTGTCGACTCACTTCGTTTGGTTGAACAACACGACATCAAAAAAGCCTTATGAAGCGAAAAGTAGTTACGATAACCCAATGTTGGCACATTCTCCATATGCAGCAAATAAAACAATGGTAACTTTACAGTAGCACTATGCATACATAGATCTTTAGCAGTGTGCCTGTTGAGCTACCCTTTTGCGTATATTTTTGGAATGCGCTTGGGAATGCGTGGGCTGCAGGAATCGGGCAAATCACAATGCAGGTGTGATAGAAAGAAGAAACATTACCGGGAAAGAGAGGAGTGGGGGGAAGGAGGTTAAAGCCTGGGACAGAAAAGAGTAAAGCCTAATAAAATGAGCAGTGCTGATGCAAGGAGCCGGGAACGATGAGGGGAGAAACCATTATGCGCAAACGATGCTAGGCAAAATTGAGAGGAAAAAGGAAAGGTGAGAAGACATGTGAAGTAGAGTGGGGGGATAGAAGAAATACATAAAAAAAATCTAAGCATATCCACGGAAAGAATGATGATAAGTGGGGTGAAATGATAAAAGGTTTCATTAATAAACCATGAAGCATCCGCGAATATCACCCACTACATCTTCAAAGGCGTTACAAACACTGTACAGTTGACTCTCATTAAACAGAACCTGAAGGGACTGAGAAAACGGGTTCCATTTAATAGGAGTTCAGTTCACTGAGAGGTGAACTGGGTTGCAGCATTAAAGTATGAAAGCAATAACATCAAAAACAGTTGTTCCATTTAAGCAGCAGTTTCGTTTAACAAATTTTTGTTTACTGAGAGTCCACTGTATATATTCATAAAAGAAATTTTATTATTTGTAAGTGGTAGCTATATGTCGCTTTCATAGCCTTTTCATTATAGCGACTGTATGGTCCGTGCAGTGGTGGATCGGTGATGAAGCATAGTGGGATGTTTGCAAGAATGAAGTAGTGGGCAGTTGTGGAACTGTAAGTGGCCACATACATACAAGGGATGGGCAGACCCACATCCTTAGAAGCCCTAAAAGTTTGGGCAAATTGATTTGAGCCTAAGACACATACCCATTCGGGTAGGTTGGCCAAGATTTTATAGTTTTAAATTTGTTCGTATGTTTGTAGCCTGAATACCATGGCACATACCAAATCTAGGGATTGGATAAATATACATATAGTATCCTATGGATGGTAACTGCACTATTGCTCCCCAACAAAAATAATGTAAAATAAAAAAGGCATTACAACAAAAAATAGATGAAGATAGCAATAAACAAAAAATAAAGAATGCACTACTACAACACGATAATTTGATTCTCGGAGCCAACCAGGCAGCTGAGTTTGCCAAACCCGATTTATTTGAAATGTATGTCTTATATTTGATCACATTTCAAAATTGATTCTCAACCCCTTTTTTTCTTGAGCATTCAATAAAGTGTGCTTTATTTAGTAGCCTTATTTCTTTCCCATTCAATTTCTTTTTCCTTTCTCTCCTCTATTTGTTTTTGCTTTCTTTTTCATACTTTTTTGTTTCTTCTTTCTAATTCAAGTTATCTTCCTACGCTTGCTTCTCTTTCTTTTGCTTTTTTCTGTCTTGCTTGGTATTTCTCACTTGCATGCTCTTTCAATTTTTATACGTGTTACCATGTTTCGCTAGCCGTAGTATTCACACTTAATGTCATCACCAAGGGGCTCAAAAAACAATGGGAAGAAGACTTCTCTTGGCGCAAGCGTGTGCTCAACGCGCTATATGTGGTGTTGCCTCCATTATGCCAACAGACAGCGACATCATACGGCAGCCTGGTCTCCTAACGTGCTGCGCTCTTCAAACAAAAAGAAGTTTCTTGCTGAAACAGGACTAGAAGATAGATTCTCAGGAATGCATTTATGGGAACCATACATTTGAGTAGCTGTGATGTAGATAATGTTAGAAGGATAAACAGAAAAAAGAAAAAAAGCAAAAATTAAAGACGGGAGAAATAGAAAACAATAAATCAAGAGCGAGAAAAATAGTAGCATCGCCATGTGTAGCATTGTAGAGCAATAGGATGGGAAGGCAACAAGAGAGAGGGTAAATCATAACATAGTCACCTATACGACAACATATCATGGAATAGAGAAAGAGAAGTGAGAGTGAAGATAATGTAAAGGAGGCGGGCTAGGCCACCAGAATTATTGTTTGCACAGTCATTGAACAGTAGCATGCACTACTGTGTAGCTGCCCAATTTTTTTCTATTCTAAGAAAACGCTGCAAGAACAGTGAACTACTTGGGATCTTTGCCTCTAATTGTGCTTGGCACTGCCAGGCCAACGCGTCCCAACTTCAAGAAGAGATGTGCAGCGCCTATGCTATTGCTTTGGTGAACCCCTAGCACAACAATGGAGGTCAGCTATTGAAAGCCACATGTGCTGCTTGACTCAACAATAATCACAAATCCAATTTCGCTCGACGAAACATGGGAGCTTCAAGGACAGGCAGTTTTGCAATTTTCCCGTCAAGCAGGGATCACGAGACATGTGCATTCAATTACCTGTACTCGTTGCTGTTTCCCATCTTTTGATATCGTGGCAACGGCAGCGGCGTGTTCGTCGTGCTGTTAGCAGCACTCGTGTTGCGACTGCTCTGGTTGCCTTGCGCAACAAAATAGCGGTATGGAGTGTCGTAGTCCACCTCCAGGATTGTGGGGAACTTGCTCGGGTAGAGGACGTCTACCACAGCCATGGAGCCACCGAAAATGATTGCCATGATGCCTGCAAAAAAGCAGTAGGTACAGTTGCCAGCCCTCTCCAGTGCAAAGGTGGTCACATCGGCTACAGGGCACAGAGATAACACTTTTGTAAAATTGTCTGCACAATAAAACCTACTGTAGAACGGTACAACGATGAGGCAGCACAAGAAATAACTCATCGATCCTTTATGACAAATTGTGTTTTTACATGACGCGGCGTTTTTCCTAACAATGCTCTCTCACACTGTGGGGAGAAGGAAAATAAAGGCGGCTTCACACTATACTCTTACCTCACAGACTGGTTGGGGCAGGGTGGAGACTACAAGGTGTCTGGCAAAAATAACAAAAAAATGAGAGCAGAAAATAAAGAAGAAAAGAAATTTATAGAACGAGAGCAGAAAAAAGAGGAAAAAAAGGAAGTGCACATGAGCACACAAAATTGAAAGGTGGGTGAGTGTGGGAGAGAGCATGGGCCAGAATGACGAAGAAGAGAACGGATGTTCAAGGCAGCCTTGGTCACTCCCCAGGACTGGAACACTTCAATAACCGCCCGAGTTCCCACATCCACGAGCTGCCGTTTTGTGCTCCGGTCGTCCAGCTGGCTGGCAGTGCAGCGAGCAGCTAGGACAGGTCAGCGTCATGCCGCCGACCTTGAACGAGCCTGGGCTTGCACACACTCGTCTTCTCCGCCATTGTCAGACAGCCCACACGTGCCTGAAAGGTACCTGCCCAGACAACACTCGATGTCCTGAGCTCGTCCTCATATGCTACAATCGTCCTCGCACAGTTCTCATTGACCTTAGTACTTACTGAGGACGACACAAGCTGGTTTGCCCCGGAAGCATCTTTTCGAGTACTTTCTGAGGACAACAATTGATCTGGAAAAGGTCCTGTTAGAGATCTTTTTAGATGACAAAAGCATTGCACTGAGCACTTAGATATTTCTCAAGACCTTTGCGCACAAACAAGATGCATTTCATACGTGAAAACTTTCTCCACACGTTTGTTTCTTACAGTGATAAAGTTATTGTATATTTTTGTCGCATTTGTTTTGTTCTTTTTTTGCAGAAAATATTTAATTTATGCGTCGCGCCTAATGAGACACGCATAATCAATTGGATTAGGTATCGAACCTGGTAATGCGAAATGTCCATTTGAAACAGTGTGTTCTTAAATGTCAAAGCCTTAAATTAGTCATTATACGTCGCTGTACCGCGTAATAACAAACTAGCAGCTGGCAACATAGAGTTTCTCAAAATTAACTAGAGGGCACTCTGGCACTGCGATCATTCAGCGACTATGGGAATGATGAGTAGTACACACATTTGCTTAGTCTTCGTACTTGCGGACGGCTAATCGTACTTGCGGCTTCGTTTATTGCTGTGTTTCGGTTTTGTTTTGAGAGGAATATTCAACCCTTTTGAACTTCATGACCCGATTTCGAAAGGTAAGTCTAAAAAAATAACATGCTGAAACGCAACCGCTGAACATTTGCTAATGTTTGTTTCGTGAAAAAAGAACTTCAAGCCACACGAACACACACAGAGCCAGAAGCAAGCCACAAGTACGAATATTAGACAAATGTGTGTACTACCCATCATTCTCATGCTCGCTGAGGCAAGGTTTCTAGACTAGGTAAGTTGCAAAACTCCCCGCGTCAGACTACTCGGCACACAGCGCCGGAACAGCTTCCGGTTTGGTGGCGCTGGCGGCGCAACAAGCTTCCTCTAGCAGACGAAAACGCGTAGTCGTCATGGCAAGACACCGTGGCGGCCGTTCTGAAAGAGCTTACCAACAGTATATTATCGAGATTTGCTGTGCTGCCGCAGAAACTTAGTACTGCGTAATATTTAGTGGTGTAAGACAAATACAGTATAAATATGGTTTTTTGAACTGCCCACAATAAACAATGCTTGATATATATAGCATAACATTTGAGTCTGTCGGTTAGTTGCTAGTTGGTGTACGTTCGCAATATATTTTTAGACGCGAAAAAACCCAATACAATGTCTGGTATCCTCTTTTGTGGCTGTTTTTTGGGCTTGAAAATAAATTACAACAATGTGGCACAATCTTGTGGCTTTTGTCTGGTTATGTAGCCAGCTTTTTTTTTTTTTCATGTCAGTCACATTCTTTAGCAACTTAGGCCGACAAAAAGCTACGCGTGCGGCCATTTTCTTGAGCATGTTTTCCCTCTGCTTCTTCTGGAGTTCCTCTAATGAAACCTGTTAACACAGCTGCAGCCAAAACTTCGAGCAGAGACCGCACTTTGGGGTATCGGTGACCACTTCGAAGTCATTACTCACGAGTCTGCCTGCTGGCGCATTGGGACAACATGCCCCGCCGCGGTGGTCTAGTGGCTAAGGTACTCGGCTGCTGACCCCCGGGTCGCGGGATCGACTCCTGTCTGCAGCGGCTGCATTTCTGATGGAGATGGAAATGCTGTTGGCCCGTGTGCTCAGATTTGGGTGCACGTTGAAGAACCCCAGGTGGTCAAAATTTCTGGATCTCTACACTACGGCGTTTCTCATAATCATATGGTGGTTTTGGGACGTTAAACCCCACATATCAATCAATTGGGACAACATGAACACACCTGCAGCTTTTCTATGTCCTCCAGAAGTTCGGCCCATTGGGTGATGGTATCTGCATTACTAGGCGACTTGGCTAAGTGATGGTGACGGCTGCTAATGGTGACTGTCATGTCTTCTGCGACGACAACGCATTTCTCCACAAATAGCGCTCTTTTTTTTCTTTGAGCCCTAGAAACACCACAAGACGTTTTGTCTCGCCATTCTCAACAACTTTCCGCCAGCATACAAAATAACGTTTTCTATGTCTTGAAGCGAAATGACGCCACTAGTTAACGGCATGTCGAGACTTATTTCACTGTATTCGTGCTCAGTGCTCGGAGATAGTCTATTCTTTTTCGCCAATAATATTCCGGAAAATACTCCTATCAGGCAGCTTTCGCGTCTTTGTCGCGGGCCCCACGACAAAGGTAAGCGGGCAAATTCGGGAATATTCGTGGAACGCATCCTTCGACAAAGTCCCACTTTTCTCTTGCGATTTGTACCTTCTTACCATATGACGTGAGTGAAAGTCTTCAGGATGTCCTTCTCATAAAAGTGCATATCACACACACGTGAGTAGCTGAGACAGTTTCTTATCTGCACGAGGAATAACGTGGTCCCATACCTCTCGCTGCTCAGGTACACATGGGCACAAAAAAAATGTCGTGGTGTCTCTTATTTCCTGTAGCTACACTACAGCCGAGAAGGCAACATCCGGGCATGATGAAAACACGCAACACATACAAAGCAGAACAGGGCGCTCTGAAGCACAAAAATTTTAACGTAGAAAGAAACCTCCACAGATATCGACGCACTGCAACATGCACAGCGATGAGGGTTACGGGAGTGACACGAGTGAGCTAGGTGTTCTGTGAGCGAGCATGCAGTGAGTGAATCTGGATGCGACAGCAGCACCATATTTGTCGCTGGCAGCGGCGGCGCCACGCAACATCGCTCAGTTTTGCAGCTTACCTAGTCTAGAAACGTTGCGCTTAGGCGCCGTGTGTTGCAGCTAGAAGTGTGCGCCGACTGGTCGGCGCGCCGCCGCCAAGAGTTTTCACCGCGTCACCGCCGCCCACGCGAACTGATCGGCGCGCCGCCGCCGACGCAGGTGTTCTGTGGCCGATGTTTTTCATCGGCGCAATCGGCGCGTCATTTATGTGCCAGTACTGACTTTTCAGGGATTTGTCTTCTTTTTCATCTTGATTTATAGCTTCGTTTCACATTTTATGTAGCCAGTAAAAACCAGGCTTCTAAGTTATCTTCATCCAGCTTCAGAGAGCAAGAGTACCACTATAAAGAGCGGCACAAGTTCGGCGGGCGCTGCATGAAATGACATAGTGGACAAATTGACAAAAAATAAATGTAACAGTTACAGTAAAGCATAGACACTGCCATCTTAGGCTTAAAAGCAATTTTTGCTGTATTTTTGTGTCGTAATTAGCTATGATTAAGGTCATATGACGTTGAATGTAATGGCCCAGCGTTTTGATGCGCGCAAGTTTACCATAGCACTATTCGAATATTCATACGGATGCAAAACGGCATTATTATAGAGAAAGAAAAAGACAAGAGAGGACACTTCGCGAAACCTGGCCTCAAGAAGTGCGTCATGACTACGTAATGAACTAGTGCTCTCACCAAACGCCAGAGGACGCAAGCGCAAAAAAAACAGTTATAATCAATGCAACAGAATTGTTTTCACAAAATAATAATTATACGCCCAAATCTGGTATGTTCTTTATACATAAAAACAATTAATTTCAGCCGACTGACAGCAGGAAGCTTTCGTCCCTTTCGTCAACGTCGGCTGCGTTGGCGTTTTTGTGCGAGATAACAGGTGAGTATCACAGAACATCTACGTGAGTATAGTGAACTAGAACATTTTCTAGTGGTGTGACCGGCGGCGGGTGCGGCCGGCTCGGGTGGTGTTCTGTGGTTGGCAGTTCGTGGCACATGGCTGGGAGGGTTGTGGTTTTGCTCGTTTTGTGCGCGCAGTGTTACTCGGATAACTTGACATTATCTTGTGTATCTTGGCGTTAAGTATTCAATGCAGTGAGCGGGATCTATATTGTACCAGCGACTGGAAATTTTGCGATGACATGGCGAAAAGAACAACAGATTCCCACTGTTTTGCACCAGGCTGCCGCACTGGCTATCCGGGTGCGCCGAAAGCATCGCTGTTCGCCGCACCAAGAGACGACTCGCTTCGAAGTAAATGGGAGCGAAACCTAAGAAGAGCAGACAAGATCCTGACGAAATCATCAGCTGTGTGTGAACATCATTTCGAAGCGCATTGCATATTGCGCGAATACGTAGGTCGATGGCGTGGATGGCGCATTCCGAGAGGCAAGCCGTCTTTAGCTCCCGATGCCATTTCTACGCTGTTGCCTCAGTGCCCAGCCTACCTCTCCGTTAAAACCCCGCAACAGAGAACGGAAAGGAAGAG